AGCAGCAGGGCGGAGGCCGTGAGCTCAGATGCTAAATGGAGGCACTTGGAGCCCGGCCAACAAGGCGAGACAGTGCTGAGAGCCCAGGGAAGGAGCCGCCGAGAGCCACCCAAAGCAGGGCATGGGGTCCCAGTACCCTCACAGGGCAAACCGAGGCGTGGAGACAACAAATGCGGGCTGGAGCCACGCTGCCCCGAGACGTGAAGCCCCCACTGAGATCAAAGGAAAAGGGGAACCCCCCGCCCACAGAGAGCCGCCCCGCGGTTTCCCACCTCTGCCGTCCAGCGGGTCAAGCACAGCGGCCTCGGGCCGTGGGGCGGCCGCCTGCCCCCGCAGCATCATGCGGATGCGGACCTGCTCCTGGACTCGAGCGCTGCGCAGCCGCTGGGCCTCCGCCGCCTCTCGGCTGCGACCATCCAGCTGGCGGTCCGAGGGCAGAGCCAGCGAGCAGACGCCGGCCTCGGGCTGCAGGGCCGACAGCAAGAAGGCGTTAGTCTCCTGCATGGCAGCGGCGAGCGGGGCCGAGGCGAGCGCGGCCGCCCTGTGCAGGTGTGTGCGGCTGTGACGGCGGCGGGGCCTTCCCTGAGCTGCAGGGAGGCACCCGGCCCGCCCCGCCGCCGCCACGCCTCGGTGCTGCGGCCACCTGAGCACAGACGGGAGCAACGTGAGCCCCGAGGCCAAAAGAGCCCACCCAGGATGCCCACAAGCAGGGGAGGTGGACGTGCCCGCAGCCACAGTGAAGAGCGCTGGATGGGCTGCCTGGGCAGGCTCCTCCATGGACCCCAGGAGGCTCAAGGATGCAAAAGCCCCTCCGTGTGGCCTCCAAGTTGACCTCTGAACCACTGAGTGGCCTCTCCCACCAGCCTGCCCCAGGCTCAACCTACACATCGACACCCAGACCCCTGAGCAGCCTCCACATTGACCCCCAGCCCTCCACCAGCCAGCCCTAGATCCCAGGCAGCCTCCTCAGAGAGTCCCAGAGCCCCACACAGCCTCCACATTGACCCCTAGCGAGCCACAGGAACCAGCATCCTCCCCCAGACCCCCACATGGCCTTGCCGGCCACCTCTAGACCCTGGGAAAGCCCCAGACACCCCCCTGTGGCCACCTAGGAGGGCCCTGGAGCCCCAGGCACACTGCACATTGACCCCTAGAGCCCTGGGCAGCCCCATGGCGAGCCCTGGGCAGCCCCATGGCGAGCCCTGGACCTCCAGCCGACACCTAGCTGTCTCCCTGATAAAGCCCTAAAAGAGCCCACCACCACTGTTGGGGCATGGTGGCCAATCCCTCCCTGCTTTGCTTTTCAAATCAGTTGGGAATTACAAAAAAAACCAACAACAAATTAAAAATAAATAAATAAATAAATAAAACCATGAGGTAGCTGAATGCCGCTGGGCTGGTGGCTCTGAGCACAGAGGCAATGAATGTGGGGTGACTCAGCCACTGCTGTGCACAGGTACTAATTAGGCTCACCCCACCCGCCCAGCCACCCCGACCAACCCCAGCTTGTGGGACACGCCTGCTCCCAAAATCCCCAGCGGCTTTGTTCCACTGCTTTCCCCCTGCCTGAATTCTTGGAGGGAGCCATGCACTCCTGACACAAGTTGTGTACGTTCTCAGCCTTGGGGCAGGAGTGAATGGGAATGTCAGTGCCCCTGGTGGCTTTCGCACTCAGCGTCACTGCTTTGGCCCCGCCTGGCAGAAGCGTTTTGGGGTTTGGCAGCCAGTGAGCTGGGTCAGGCTTGCAACACCGGGTGCTGACAGCTCAGGATGGCTTTTGTCCTTTGGTAGGAGGGGGGAGAAAGAGCGGTGAGGAATGTGCCGTTGTCAGCAGAAGCAGCTTGCTATGGGACAGGGGAGTGTTCCAAGGGCAGGGATCTGTTCCCTGCAGTGGTAAGGTCCCTGATTGTGGTGGCCAACCCCATTGTGCCTGGGGACCTATGACCCCCAGGCCCTCCCCATCTTTATCTGGGAGGTTTCATAGGGCTTGGAGTAGGGGTCGCAGCCAGTCCTTTTTGGGGTCTACAGCCCTAAGGGGACCATTCACAGCTCTGTGCCACCCACACGGGTGCACAGCACTTGGCAGTGCTCAGCAAGGCACTCCCAGCCCGCATGAATCATAGTTCCCCCCACCCCGAGCAGGAGGTTCACTCCCCATGCATGTTGCTGCTTGCTCATGGCTGTATACCAGGCTCCAAGGGGTGGGGGGATACCTCCAAGTACATCCCTACATCCCCCAAAGCAGGGAGTTGGGGCTGCAGCTCTGCAAAAGGCTTTGGACTGGATGCTTAAAATAAAAAAATAAATTAAAAAATACAGTAATTTGCTACAAAAACCGTATTTGGAGCAAAACTGAGGAGATGCAACCACACTCAGAGATGCAGAGATGAATAAACCTAGCACGGACACACCAGGAAAGGCACCCCAAAGGCACTTCCCTCTGTGGGGTGACCGCACAACGTAGCCTCCACAGTACACCAATGCCTGTTGTTCCCAAAGCCCCACTGAGTGCTGGTCCCGATCAGCAGGTCATGTGGCCACCGATGCCACCAGCAACAGGGAGTGGCCAACAGCACAGCAGCACATGTGCCCAGACTGTCCCTTTCACAGCAGGGAAACCGAGACATGAGGACACTGGGGAGGGGTCAAAAACGCTGCTTGGTCAGAGCTGGCCAGGAGTGCGCAGCTGATGGATGACCCCATCAGTTTCCCAATGGCATCCGCATCCCCTGGCATGATGTCAACCTACACTGGGGACAGCCACGCTCGCAAAACACTTACCTTGTTGGGTGGCCCCACAGGGCTGGTGCCCTGCAGCATCCTCCGGCTGGGTGCACCCCTGGGTGCTGTTGGGGAGCCCTGGCGTGGGGTCGGTGATGCCGTCTGTGCGGTGGTGGGCGTGGGGCCGCGGCAGGGCCCGCCCCAGGAGCTTACCCAACCAGTCCCTTCACCGTTGTTTTGCATGTGTGCTCCAAACCCACTTGCCTCTCAATCAAGTTTGTGCTTCTGGGGCTTGTGGCAGGGTTTTGGCTCTTCATGGCTCTGCATGATGCCACACTGACCCACCTCCTGGATCTGCTGCCAATGGAGATCCCACCTTCGTGATGCTCTGGAAAGCACCTTTGGTCCCTACTCCACGGCCCTTGGCCAAAGTGTACATTCCAACATATTCCATTGGATTCCCTGTTCTGCCACAGGGAACCATACAAGAAGGGCTCCAAAAGGAAAAGAGGGAGTGGAGGCAGAGATGGGAGGCACAGCCGTTGGGGCAGGAGGTTCCCCACGCCCTGGAGGCTCCCAGGGAGCGTGTCTGTATGTGTGGGATTGAACAGGATCCCTTTGAAGACCAGATAAGCTGAGAGGAGCATTCCAAACAAGCTAAACCAGTTCCAGGGCCATCACTACCAACAGCACCACAGCCAGCACTGGCCGATCCCTTTGCCCACCACCATTTCTTCGCTCAGCCATATAGGGATGTGCCGAGCCACCCGCTTAGTGCTGCGGTTCAACTCTGTCCCCCCCCACCCCGTGAGACCCAACAAGCCCCAGCGTGACATTCCCTCCAGGGCAGGGAGAGCTGCTTGGCAAATGCCTCTCTCTATTGCCTCTTGAAGAAGTGGAGACCTCCAACACTGGAAGAGGCTCTATATCATAGAAAATTAGAAAGCATTAAGGCTGGAAAAGACCTCTAAAGATCATTAAGTCCAACCACAAACCCATCACCACCATGCCAGCTCAATGCTAAGTGTGCTTTGGTGCTGATGGCTTCATTGGGAGTTCCAACAGCAGTTCAGCCCTCTCTAGTGGCTGGAAAAGTTGTGCCTAAGGAGAAGTGGCTTTGGGGATCAAGCCATCCACCCTGCCCAAGACTTCTCCACCCCCAGGCCACCTCCTGGTGTAGCGGGCAAAGCCCTCACCCACAACAAAGTACTTAAAAAAAAAAGCTCAAAAATACAGGGAGCTGGGCAATGAGAGAACTACATGAGTGGCACGGGAGAAAATCCCCCTGCAGAGACTGACAGAGACTGGGCAAACTTGGAGGGGGGCTCTGGGGACACTTGCTGGTATACTCTCAGGGCTGGTAGTGCCCAGCATTGCCAGACCACAGGGTGGTTTTAGCCAATGCTCCTGCAATGGGGTGAGACCCAAGTGTGGGGTGGAGGCTCCCCAAGTTCCCTGCAAGCCCGAGCGTGCACTGGGGCATCAAAGGTACATGGCTGCATCCTCCTCCCCTTCCCTGCATGCTGCCAGCCCTCCTGGGACTGCAGCCACAAGGCAGAGGGTGACACTGTGAGAAGGAAATCCCAGTCAAGACGTTGATTTTAATTTTTAAGAATTAAAAAACAAAAACAAAACAACAGAACAACAGCAACACCCCCCCCCCCCCCCCACAAATGAAAGAAAAAAAGAAAAAGAAAACAGACAGAACTTCCTGAAAACAGCTTCCTACCTCATAATTTCACAGAAATTAGCTTGGAAACATCATTTGCTCTCCCCAGTCCTGTACCTGCTTTGGGCTCTGCCCTTTCCCCCCCCCCCCCCCCACCAGCCCACCCTGCTGATGGGGGCCAGGAAGGGGCTCTGCCCCTTGTCCACTTCACCCAAAGCAGCCAGGGCAGAGCTTTCTCCCATCCAAGGTGACCACCTGGCTCTGGGGGTGCCACAGAGAAGATAGGCAGCCCTGAGTGGATACCCCCACCACCCCAAGGGTATCTGCTCCAGCAACCCCCAGCAAGGTCTCTGCCCTCCAGCCTGGCACTGGGCACTGTGCAGGGGATGCAGAGCTAGTGCTGGCTGCAAGCTCAGGTACCACTTTAACCCCTTCAGCATCACCAGCAAGACGTGGCCCCCAGCCTTGAGGCTTTGCTCTCTCAACAGGAGGACGCCCACTGCCTGGCGCTAATGAGTTAATAAATTCATTTCTGACTAAGAAATTAGACCCTTAAGAAAAAATCCACCTTCCCGCTTTCACCCACCCTCCCTCCCCATATCCACCCCAAAGTAACCATGGTTCATTTGGAGACCCCGGTGGCAATAGTGCCCTCCGTGCTGGACCAGAGGGTTGGGGACACATGGGCACCAGCGGCGGCCAATCTCTGGCTGTGGTCTGTTAGCTGTGGGCTGGGCTCAGGGTGTTAGTCCTTGGGCGACTTCTTGCTGTGAGCGTTCCACATACCGCGCTTGGAGTGGTAATAGTGGTAGAAGTTCCTGAGACGCAAGCGCTCCACCTCCAGCCCGCTCTGAAGGACCCTACAGTCAGACAAATGGACAGCTGCTCAGGGAAATGAGGGGATGGACACAACCAAATCCCTGCCCATGGATGGGGGTTCCCATCACACAGGTGGGGGTACAGGGGTCCTGGTGCCTCCAGCCTCACCTGTCCAGGAGCTCCCAGTCCTCTCCGCCCCAGCGGTCCCTGAACTCCTCCGTATTCATCCCTCCAACGCGGTCAAAGTCTGACTTGTAGATGCCAAAGAGACCAAAGCCATTCACCTCCCAGTAACCTGGAGGGAGGAGCAGTGAGATCCCCATCCCACCATACCATCACCCTTGGTGCTCCCAGGAAGCCACATCCATGCTCTCACCTCATCCCAATCTCTCCCCCAGTTCTCCTTTCCTACCACAGCTCTGTCTCCATCATTGCCACCTCCTACTGGGGTCCACAGCGTAACACTTCAAGTTCTGGAGAACCCTTGGGCTCAAATCTCACCCCACCAAAGCAGAACAAACCCACCCAATCCTGGCTGTAAACCAAAGCCAGCATCACAGCAACACTCAGGTGCACAGGTGATATCTCCCATCTGGAAGGTGGCACAAGGAAGGGGACTGCTCACCGTTGGGCTCCCGTGGGGAGCTGCCACAGCTTAGCCTCATGACGATGGGCGCATAGGCCAGCTTCCCTTCCACACAGTGCTTCCGGATGCTGTCCAGGATGTTGGAGGGAAAGTGGATGTGCAGGTCGCACAGGAACACGATGCTGTGCCCATCCTGAGGGTTGGGACAGACACAAGTGGGAGGCTCGCAGCCAAGCCACACCGGGAGCTCCAGAAGCCCCAAGTGGAGCAGTGTGTCCTCACCTCAACCATGTCCACACCAGCCTGCAGCCCTGCTGAGCGTTCAAAGTTCCCCGTGCGCCGTAGGTACTGGTAGCTGAGGGGAGAGAGCAGGGCAGTTAGCTTTGGTGATGGGAAGGGACCTTCTCAAGGGGACAAACACTATTTAACACCTTTTGTTGGTGGCATGGACAGCAAGACTGAGGGCACTCTCCGCAAGTCTGTAGATGACACCAAACCATGCAGGGACAGACATGCAGGAGGGAAAGAATGGCATCCAGAGGGACCTCAACAGGCCTGGAGAGATGGGCCTGTGTGAATCTCATGAAGTTCAACAGGACCAAGTGCAAGGTAATGCACCTGGATCAGAGAAAACCCAAAGAGAAAGTCAGGGAACCGGGAGAACAGAAAGCTCTGGGGAGAACAAATAGCAGCCTTCCAGTAGCTAAAGGGGCATACAGGAAAGCTGTTGTGGTCTCTATCAGGGAGTGTGATAATGGGAGAAAAGATAACAGTTTTAAACTGAAAGAGAGGAGATTAAGGTTAGACAGTAGGAAGAAATACTTTACTCAGAAAGTGGTGAGAGACTGGCACAGGCTGCCCAGAGAAGCTGTGGATGCCCCTTCCCCAAAGGTGTTCAAAGCCAGGTTGGATGGGACTTTGGAAAACCTGGTCTAGTGAAAGATGCCAGCCCATAACAGGGGTTTGGAATTAGATGGACTGTAAGGTCCCTCCCAACCCTAATACTCCATGAAGATAGGGGCCACTTCAAGCCAATGGTTGTGACAGGACCACCAGGATGGCCTGCCCATCTATGAGACCACCAGCACAGGACTACAGTGGGATGTGGAGAGGATGCAGGGATCCTTGGGATAGGTTACCGAGGCAGCTGGGCATCCTGCAGGGCTTTCTCAACATCCATGTCGTCGCTGTCAAAGTCCACCAGGATGACGTTGAAGTTGGCATCCTTTGTAATGTCATACAGGCTGACCATGTCTGAGATGAACTGCTGGACCCAGCGCGCCTGGTTCTTCACTGCCGGGCACAGCCACAAACTTCCTTCAGACCTTAGGATCCCCACACTAGAGGTCCCAAAAAAACCCCCAAACCAGCAATCGGTCACATTATACCAGATAACCTCAACACTGCTATGGGTCTGGCCTCCCGAGAGCTCTGATAGCTCTTGTCTTATGGAAAGGCACTTGGCAGTACCCCAGCCATGGGCATGTCCCTCAACCCCAATGCCTGACACAGACTGCTTCAAGCCACAGCCATGCCCTCCTGGCTGCCTGCACTCCTTGAATCTGCCAGGAGGATGCAAAATCCCACCAGAGAATGCTGTGGGCAGCAAGAGACGTGCCAGAGAGATGCATCCTGCTGTCACCTACCAGGTACCACGAAGTGCACCATGATGTCCTGCTTCCAGCTCAGCTGCAGAGGCCGACACAGAGTGGGCTTCCCATAGAGGATGCTCCAGGTGCTTGGCTGGGTCTCGGTGGCCCCCACGGCTGGTCCCTCAGGGTTGGCTTCAGCACTGTCATCCTGCTTGCCTTGGTGCAAAAGGACATAGACATACTCAGAGAGCCGAACTGTCCGCTGGCCCCGTTCTGCTAACTCCAGCTCCAGCAGGTAGCGGTTGCCACGAGCTGTGTCCCGGCGCTTTTCCACATTGATGATCCTCAAAAGGGTGTAAATGCTGTGGAGGAAGGAGAAACAGGTGAAACAGCCAAAATACAGATTGAGTGGGCCAGCTGTGAGATGGGTTGGACACTGCCTAGTATGCTGCACTCGAGAGGATGGCAAGCAATGATTTATACTCAGGCTGGCAGCCTGTAACAAGCAAGGTCCCCTAAGGAAGGATATTGGCCTCCGTGCCATTCTGTATCTTCATAAATGATCTGAACAATGGGATTGATAGTACCCTCACCAAGTTAGAACAGGATGGCGAGGTGTACATGGCATGAAGTTTAACAGAGACAAGTGCCCACTCCTTTACCTGGAAAGGTATAATCAAAGAGCCCAGCGCAGGCTGGAGAGGGTCACAGAATCACAGAATGGCCAGGGTTGGAAGGGACCTCAAGGATCATGAATCTCCAACCTCCCTGTCACATGCAGGGCCACAATGCTAGACCAGGGTGCCCAGGGCCCCATCCAACCTGGCCTTGAACACCTTTGGGGATGGGGCATTCACAGCCCCTCTGGGCAGCCTGTTCCAGCACCTCACCACTCTCTCTGTAAAGAACTTCCCTGACATCCAACCTAAATCTTCCCTCCCTCAACTTAAAACCATTTCCCCTCGTCCTGCAGTTATCTACCCTTTCAACGAGTTGAAACTCCTTGAGGGTCCAAGGGAGAGCCAAAAAAATGGCCAGAGGGCTCAAGAACCTGTCGTATGAGGAAAGTCTGACGGAGTTGGACTTTTTCACAAGAGAGAAGAAAAGGCTCAGGAAGGGCTCATCACTGTATCACAGCTCTTAAAGAGCAGCTAGAAAGAGGACAGAGGCTGTCTCTTCACTAAGAGCCAGACAGTGAAGACAAGGGGCAACAAGTACAGACTATACCATGAGAGGTTTTGTCCTGGTAAAAGACAAATTTTTTACAGTGAGAAAACAGCACTCACTGGAACCACCTCCCCAGGGACATGGCAGCATCTCCATCACTGGAGGTTTTCAAGGTGTGGTAGGACAGGGTGCAAGGTAATTTCCTTCCCCAGAGGTTGAGCCTGATGATCTTTGGAGGTCCCTTCCAACATGGGCTGCTTTACCACTCTAACCCAATGTCCAGCCCACCTGGTCCCAAAAAGCCAAATGGGGCCAAGACACATCCTATCCTCCCCACTTCCCACCCACACCGTGCTGCATCCCTACCCCCCATTCTTCTCGTTGAGCTTCTCCATGTACTGGGCCACCACATCGACCACCTCACTCTCACTCAGCTGCAGGTTGCCCGAGACGTTGCAGCGCAAGTCATTCCAGTCGGAGCGCAGGAGCTCGAAGTCCACCGAACTGACACTGAACGTCCTCTGCCAGTTGATGGAGTCCTCCAGCCAGCTCTGCGGCAGCTCCCCTGTCTCGTAACTGTAGTCGGACACCTCCTCTTCCTCCTCTTCCTCTTGGCCCTTTCCCTCCTGCTGGGATGTTGTTATCTCTGATGTCTTCAGAAAGGATGTCACCCGTGTCCCCTGTGAGCGAGTCACCTCTGAGGAGTTGTAATCGGTGGTGACTGCCATCCTGCCTGGGGCAGTGGTCACATCCTCGTGGGTCTCCTTGCTGAAGATCCCTTCAGCCCCCAGTTCTTCCTGCTTGCTCACCAGCCGCCACCTCCTGTCACCCGCCTGGCTGGTCTTCCTCCTGGCTGACTCTCTCTCTTTGGAAATGTTGCTCAAGAGCCAAGGGGTCCGGTGGCCAGGGGCAGTTCGAAGCTTGCTGGGAGTGATGGAATGCTTCTGAGGGGTCCTGGAACGAAGCTGCACTTTCTTCAGAAGCTTTGGGTAAAGGAAGATGTTGGGGAAGGCAGGCTCCTGGGCTGGGGCTTTGCGTTTGCCTGGCTGCAGCCTGGTCACATACACCTTCTCCTGGGCTTTCTTAGGTTTTCTCTCCTCCTTGGATACTACAGACTTGCTGGGAGCTGGTGTTTTGGCTTTGCCACCAAAGATGGGAACAGAGAGGTGAGACTGGAGGCTGAGCACCCCAGCACGCTTGGAGGACACCAGGAGCCCCAGCTCATCCTCCTCACTGGGCTCCTGGGGTAACCATCGAAGCATCCTTCCACGGACTCTCTCCTGCCCAGGTCCTGTGTCCCCATTGCCATGGGGGCCCACAGGAGTAGCTGTGGGGCTGGGAGTGGCAGGGGGCATGCTCCACCTTCCCATGCCCACCTCGTCCCGCACCCGACTCTGCTTGCGGCGGAAGCTGTAGTAGTCCAGGTAGTCTCCATAATCTCTGGTGACTGGCAGAATCTCCTTCCTTTGGGTTTCAGGTACCAGCTCGAGGTTCTTCCTGGCTTTGGGAGGTGGGTCTGTGGCCTCAGGGCTGTCCACTGTATCCTCATCCTCCTCATCATCTTCGAGGAAATCTAGGGAACAAAGACAGAAGTAAGTTTCTCAAGGGTCCCTGCTCTCTGCAGCACTTGGGATGACTTGGGACAAGCAGGCAAAGCTTGTCTCCTTAAGGGGATCAACGAGAAAACTGAGTGAGGGAGTCCCTGAGTGAGGGAGACTGAGAGCTGGCAGGCACTGAGTGATGCTCAGCAGGGACGGGGGCTAAAGACTCCGGTAATTAAGCCCTCCAAACCTTGGCTAATTAACCCCTCCAAGCACATCTTTGGAGACACACTGATGCATTCCATCTCCCATCAGCTGCACTGGTGGGTTGGGATGCCAGGTCCTCAGCCCCATGCCGAGCCACTGAGAGATGCTTGAGAGCTGCCAGTGGGCAGGCATGACTCACTGTCTGGGTTCAGGAAGAGAAATGCTCGCTGACGTGGGTCCTCCTCCTCCTCATCCATCTTCATGTACTTATAAAAACCGAACCTGTGAAACAGAGATGAAAGATGAGGTCCCAGAGATAAGAGAGGGGTGCACAAGGAAAAGGTGCTTACGAGCAGGCATGTGCATACTGCCATGCACATACACAAACGTGTGTGCAGGGGAACATCCTGGGATGGGAGCTGGGGTCATAGAATCAATAAGGTTGGAAAACACCTCTAAGGTCATCTAGTCTAACTGCCAGCCCATCACCATCATGCCCACTAACCATGTCCTCAGGTGCTACATCTACCCTCTTCTTGAACAAATCCCTGGGAGACAGGGAGGGACTGGGAGACAGCCTGGAGGTGGCCCTTTGCTGTGGACAGGGCTTGGGGATGCACGCCAACACTTACTTCTCCAGGTAGAGCGGGGACTCCCTGTAGAAGCACTTGTTCTCCGTCTCCATGTGAGTGAGGCGCGTGAAGTCATTGGGGTACACAAACGAGAGGTAGACCTGGGGAGCCAAGCACTCCACCATCACCAGTGCACCCAGCTGCCTTCATCCCAGCACCCCAAAGGCATCACACAGTGCTCATCCCAAACCCTTTTGGGTCAAGAGGGGAAGGCTCAGCTCGAGCCTCCACCAAAAGACACTTTCTCCTGGTTTTTAAGCACGTTGAAACATCACAGGCAAACCAAGACCTACTATAGGAGCAAGAGCTTTGGCAAGTTCCCCTCCCAGGCATCACAGAGAGACACTTACAAATTGCAGGCCCTGGTAGCGGGCGATGGGGAAGTCCTTCACCACGTAGGTGGGGCTGTAGGCACAGGGCACCAGCACATTCTCCACACGGGACGGCTCTATTGCAGGGGCTGAAGAGAGGCAGGCATGGCTCAGCCCAACCTGTGCCCATCCCACGTTACAGTTTGTAGCCCAAACCATCCTAAATTGCCCCCAGAAGAGATGGCCTTCACCCCAGAGATGGGCAGAAGGTAGGGAGGATGCTCTGGAGCATCCAGGTCCTGCCTTCTTCGTTGAATCACAGAGTGGTTTGGGTTGGAAGGGGCCAAAGAAAGTTGCTGAGTAGTGGGAAGTCCCAACCACTTACTGAGGAAGAAGGTATCCCTGGGGTCAGACTTGAGCATGTCAGCCCCATGCTCATCCCATTGTGCCTCCCAGAGGTAGCTCCCACTGTGGCTGGCCAGAGACTGCGGGATGTGCTCCACATGGTTCATCTTCAAAGTCGATTCGTCTGAGGGAGGAGAGGATGATGGCTGAACCCCTTGGTACACCACAGGACTCACCCTCTGGATGAGGGAAGCCCTGGTGACCCTCCAAGAGGCTGTGGGGGAGGATCCTAGTTGAATCCCACCACTCAGCATCAGTTCCTGTATCCCCCTGACTCAGCAGGGATACCCACCTGGGACAAAAGGGATGCACCCCCAAAAGGAGGCATGTGCGCAAACACATGATCTGTGTCCCCAGATTGTGTCCCACACAGGGAACAGCATGTCCCATAGGCCCCCGGCTCCTGGGAAGGCAAACCCAGCCCCTCCAGCCCGCCTGCAGGCTTGCAGACCCTGTGACTAATGAGACAAATGATTACTGCTATCAACTAATGACACATAGGAAAAGGGTACAGGCAATCTCAGCCAGGATCGCCAGCTACCATTACAGCACTGCTCACTACAAACACAACAGGTGGAAACACTCAGAAGCTTTGGCTCCCAGGGACACAGGGATTATGCCTTGGATTAAGCCTTCCCCTTCGAGCCTCAAGTAAATACAACATGACCTTGGTTCCTGCCCTTCTCCCATTTAAGGATTCGGGTGACACACTGTCCTTGGCTATTCACCAGCCCCCAGAGTGCCACTAAGGGAGGCAGGTCACCATGCCCTGGTCACCTTGGTCCCAGGTGGGGCTGCCTGTTCCCAGTATTCAAAGACATTGCAGGGAAGCAGGCAGATCCCAAGTGCAGTACCCAAAATGCTCCTTTGCGCAATAGGGACATGCTGGAGCAAGGGGAGACATGGGACACGTTGCATTGCATCCTCAGCAGCCAAATAAGGAAAATGCTGGAACAAGGGAAGGGGCAGAGCTTTAAAACCCACTGGATAGGCACTCAAAAGTGGTTTGGCTTCACCCTGGGAAACGCTGCTGGGCTCCAAGGGAGCTGGCAAGTGGGAGAACATCAGTGCTGATGGATTGCAGCTGGGGGAGAATTTATCTGCACCTCATCCACCTCCTGCCCATCCACCCCTCTTCTCCCCATTGATCCCTGTGTGTTGCTTCAGTGACACCTTCCAGGGCGTGTTTGATGACCAGTCCTTATGCACACTGAGCGCCAGGGCAGGGCCCATCCATCATATTCTTTCTTGCTGCCAGACTGATGAAGGGGCAGGAAACAGAAGATCTATAGATTTAATTAAATCCCATGCCATCCATTCCCACCTCCATGACAGCTCCTCATAACTCAAGGCCAAGGAGCTGAGCTGCTTGCCAAAGGAGCCAAGCCTTGTTAGCAAGGAAGAAGCTGGAGAGCAGCAGCCACAGAAGCTGCATTTCTGTGGCACACCACTTACTCATCCCATTTTCAGGAGGGCTGCAGCATCACCCCTACCTGCTGCAGCCTCATTCCTCCTATCCAGCAGAAGCCCTGGGGGGTTCAGACCCATCTTCCCTTGCATCTGGTTTCAACCAACATTTTGAGCCCAGGTGAGTGCAGCATGGTAGTTTGCTGGCTGCCAGCACCTGAGATGGTCCTTACCTGTGTACAGAGAAATGTAGGAAGAATCAATCACTTCGAACTTCAAGCTAGGGAGGAAAACTCGCCACTAGGAAAGAAGGAGATGGAGGATCAGTGGGAGGACGAGTCCTTCTTCACCCTCAGCTCCCAGAAACTATCCTCAACCCAACATCACAGCAGTGGAATGAGATGGAGGGCTGACCCTATCCCAGCACAGGTCCAGACCTATCTCGTTCCTTAAACTGTAGTGCTCTGGGCTTGTTCCCTGCATGGCTGGAGAAGGGAAGACATCCAGAAGTGAGGCTACACTCTGGCTGCCACATATCTCAGACCTATGTAGCTCTTCTGGGCCAGGCAGCAACTTCTTCCCAACCAGCATTCATTACCACGGCAGCACAAACATAGGATCAAGACCCTGACCCACAGCTGCCATTCACTGACCCCTAAACCACCTCCTCCTTCCCCTGCCTCTCTCCAGTGCTGCAAACCACTCAGACCTGTGTTGGCAAAAGCAGGAATGGGAACAGACTGAAGCAACCCCCTGCAGATCTCTGCTGCTGCTTTTAGACCTCCTTCAGCTGATTTGGAGCACATTAACAACAACAAATAAGCATTGACTTCAGAGGGTCTTCACAGCTGCCTGCACTGATTTGACTGCCATTTAAAAGCATGCCCCAAATGGATGTGAGCCTTTGTACAGACAAGCCCTTACATACCCAGGGCAAGGGAAGCATTAGGGTCCTTTGTTGTCTCTCTACAAGCACCTGAGAAGCTTCCCTCCCTCCAGCAAGAAAACATTTCCCCCTCTCGTTTATTTTTCACATTAGAAATTCAGATCTTATCAGCACTGCATGCACCCAGACAGAGCACTCCTGAGTGCTGGGGAGGAGAAACATAAGAAAGAGGAGCTGTCAGATTCTGAGATGCTTTGCTAGCACAAGTCTGACTCCAGTGATTAATGAGTGTTTGGGAGAAAAGAAACCTTTGCGAAAGAGCCAACATCTTCCCCTCCCAAAAAAAAAAACAAAAAAAAAAAACCCTGAGCTCCTGAGAACAGCAGGGCTGTGCAGCCAGGTGGGCAAGTTCAGATCTGAAATTGCTGGTATCTACAAAGGAGAGGTGGGGAAAGAAAAAAGGGACCTAAGGCAGTAGGGTGGACTAACAGCTCTTCAGGGCAGCAGTCAGTATCCCGGATGGTACCTGTCTGTTCCCATCTTATCCACGGTCTGGGCTCCTCTAAAAAGGGACCTTACCTTCCTGGCCAGCCCAATTCTCCATGAACATGACAAAGGGAGAAAAAAAAAAAAAAAAAAAAAAAAAAAGGGAGGATGGGACTAGCCATGGAGAGCTGCTGATCAGAAACAAGCCTGGAAGCAGCACAGGGGGATATTTACTCACGCCCACTTCCACATGGTCCGAGCCTCGGTCGTCTTGCTTGTGGAGCAGCTCAAAGTAGTAGCGCCTGGACGACATAAGGCTGCACAAGAGGGGGAGAGGCTGGGTAAGACACATTGCTGCTACTGCTGCCAGGGCAATGGGGTGGAGTCCCTGGACCCTCAGTGTCAGGGGAGTCATCTCTGGAAACCATCTCTGTCCTGCTCATGTGTGGCTAGAACTTCTTGGGGTAAGGAGAAAGGCAGGACGAGAGGGATATCTGTAACTAGTTCTACTGTTTTAACAGAAAAAAAGGAACCCTAGCCCCTAACTCACGGCATCCAACACGTTTAAGGCATCGACTAGTGTTGGGTGTTTTGGGAAGGGGCTTGGCGGAATCAGTGTGGAACTTACCGTAGAGGCTTGGAGACCTGTGAGCTGAATTTGGTGAACTCCCCTGGAGCTGTCCACTCGGTACCCAGCTGGAGAAAGGAAAAATGAACGTCTAAAAGCTGCCAGCTAAGCAGGCACAAGCCCAAACCCTGCCAGATAGATGGAAAGAAGCTCTCCTCTGCTTCCACTGGGCACCATTCCATGGGCAGAAAGGCTCATCAGGCAGGACAGAAGGCTCCACCCCAGGTTTTCCCTTGTCCCCCCCCTCTGCTGGCACTCTTGGCACCGGAGCTTGTCACCAGACACAAGCAGCAAGATTCCAAAAGCATAGAAGTGTGAATCAAGACAGTAAGTTTTCCAGCTCCCCAGGAAAATCCAACAGCATACATTAAACCTCCCACCTTGGGACAGGAGCATCCCCAGTGCAGGGAAGTCTAGAGGGTGAATGTGCATACCTTGCCCACAAAGGCAGCCAGCCGTGAGTTGGATGGGCTCTCATCAGAACTGAGCCAGAACTCCGAATTGTCATCTGATGCCACAGCAAACTGGAAATCTCCTGAGGACAGCAGAGGAGAGATATACAGCAGTGCTGGTGTCCTGGGCTGGCTGGATGAAGGTAACAGTGTTTCCTTGTGGCACAAGGAAACGGAGGGATGGATGGACCTGGTAACATGGTGCCATGGACCCCATGCTCTGCTCTGTTCTGGATAGGACTAGTGCTTCAGCTTCATTGAAAACAATGGAAGAGGATCTCTGCTCCAGAGAGACCCTCCTGCCTGGGAGCCAGGGACTGTCCAACACTCCTTCTGCCCTCACATGGCCCAAGAAAGGGGAGAGGGCAGCTTTCCCACACCACTGCAAGGGGAGAAAAGGCCCAAGATCTCCACTCACCATCCTTGAAAGGGTGAATGTAGCCAAAAATCCTTAGCCCGTAGTTCTTCCACTTGGGTGACACCGCCAGCTTCTTCACTGTGGTGCGGGTCTGGGGATGCAAAAGTACAAACAGTTAATACCTTGTGCCAACATTATCCACCTCTCATTCTCCTGGGGCTTTGTACCCCTAAAACCAGAGGGGTCATAGAGGTCCCATCGCTACCCAGATCTCTTCATCTCTGCCTTGAAGCCTGGCTGGCTCTTAAGGCAATTGCATGCCCCAAAGGGAACCCAAAAACCTGCATGCCAGAGAGAGGGATGAGTGGGCCCTCCCTCCAACCCACCACCATCGGGTCTGGGACTCACATGTGGAAAGAGTGGAAAATGGAGGTTCTTCCTTAGGTGCCTCACAGCTCCTCCACACCAGTCCTCAAAAACATGCAGGTTCGCTTTCCCCTTGTACTGCAGAATGAGGGGAAGAAGGGAGAGATGTGCGAGTCACCTCCCAAGGACAGCATTAGGGCCAACCCTATGCTCACATCACCAAAACCCAGTGGATAATCTTCCTCCCACTGCTCCGAGGGCACCCTTTTGGTTCTCAAGCAGGCTCACGCAAGGACTGTTCCCCTTCTGGATACAACAGCAAAAGCCCAGCCCCACCATCACCCATCCCGTTGGAACCAGGAGGAAGACGCCACGTGATTCTTCCCCACCCCTCAAAATCATGATGTACCTTCTCATCCCAGGGCAGAACCTGCTTGGTCAGGTTGAGTTTGGGGCGCCTGGTGGCTCGTGAGCCTCTGGAAAAGCGTCCGTCCAAATCCTGTCCATCATTCTGCCAAGGAAGCAGGAGATGGGAGATGAGAGGTGTGGGGCAGCGGGGCCACAGCCAGCACACTGCTCAGATGTGCTTGCAGGACACTTCCTCATTTGAGATGCCAAGCATTTCCAAAGCAAGGGGAAAGCTTTCCAGGCTGAACGCAAAGGAAAGTGGGGCACCTCGCTACAGAAGAATGTTGGCAAGGCATCCCAGAGAGCAGGGCTTCAGAATGTTCCACCTCAACTTGTTTCCCATTCTCTGCCGAAAGCGCTCCTGCTCCAAAACAGCATGCTTGCTGTTCATCCTAAATGCCAGTCTGGCAGGCTATAGGAAAGGGACTATTTTGAGCTGCATTTCCAAAAGAGCAGGAGCTTGGGCAATAATGTGATCTGTACTTCTGCCTCCAGGCAGAGGCAGCAGGGTGCCTCCCCACTCTCCCTCTTCCTTTAAAGGGGATTAGATTAATCCGATCACTTGTGTCTCATAATTTAGAGGGATCTGGGGAGCAGTCACCTGCCTCCAGCTTGCTGAAGAGGGAGAGTCAGGCTCTTCTGGAGAACCATGGCACAAAGCACAGCCCATTACAATGTGCAGCGCAAAGGAAATAATTAGCAAACTTTTCCTAAATGATGTCACTAGTGTTCTGGAGGATGGGAGTGATGCTCTTTGGAGGCATTGTCTGGGTGGAGGCGTAATTGCGTTCACTGGGAAAGCAAGGGTGCAATTACAGCCTCGCTGTAACATTCCAGCATCAGCGCCAGAGTATCCTGCAAGCAGGTGGGGGCACCGCAACAATAAAAGATGACAAACAAAGGACCAGCAGTGCCAATAGCAAGATCTGCAGCAATGCCCAGCAGGGGCTCAGAGCACACCAGGAATAAAGCTTCTCATCTCAGTTTTTGGTCTGCAGTTGTTTGCTCTGGATTCAGGGGCTCTCCACTATAAGATAGATGTTGACAAATGGGACTGAGTCAAGAGGAGGCTCCTAAGATGGAGCAGAGGACACGGGAAAGGGTGGCTTCGCCCAGCAAAGCAGGACCTTACTGCCATGCATAACTAAGTAATGGATGCAGATCGTGGCAGACTTCTCAGACAGGGCAAGAGGCAGCAGACATGAGTCACAACGCTGAAAGTTTCAACTGGGTGTCAGGGAATTCAATTTTCACCATCAGGGCTGTTGAAGAGAACCAAAAAGATTGTCCACCCTTGGATCCACTCAAGGCTTGGAGTGCCCTGCTCTACTCAGCCACATGTTTGTAGGGAACACGGATCAGGAACCTTGACAGATGCCATCCCACCTTGTTCCCACCACGGCTCTCTCATTCCCACCTGCTCCTCCTCGTGGCTCTCACTGGAGTCCTCGGCCTTCCTCTGCCGTGCCACTGCCTGGGCCACTGCCGGCCGCCTGCCAGGGTCTGTCACCTCCCCCAGCCGCTCCCCATCTGCAATGCAAACACAGGAACTGCTGAGTGAAACCACGGCTGCCTCCTCAAGCCTCACCACCACCAGATGCTCCTGAGCCTTTCCTGAGGCTGCAGCAGAGGAGGACATGGATAGCCCTGGCTGCAATTCCCTTCCTTATATTCGTACTAAGCAGCTTGCAGCGGCTCATCAGCATTGCTTTTAATTACTCTTCTCACAGCAGCCCTTTTACGTCAGATAGGATAAGCTCCTGTGGGACCTCAGCTCCCCATCCAGCTGTCGGGACGGTGCCGAACAAAAATTAGACCAAGCACTGTAACATCACAGAATATCCCAAGGTGGAAGTCACCCATCATGACCATCAAGTCCAACTCCTGGCTCCACGTATGGCAACCAAGAGTCAAACTATCTAAGAGCACTGCTTTCTTGAGCTCTGGCAGTTCAGGGCCATCCCACTGCCCGAGGCAGCCTCTTCCATGCCCACCACAACCTCAAAAGCAGAATGGGATGTGGCAGCTCCCCAAAGGGGACTCTATGCCAAACCCATAGCCCAGTAGGAACCCAGAGGCAGAATTGGGTTCCTACGGACAGCAGGAACAGTAAGGCAGGGGTCAATGAGACTCTCCCATGTTCTTCATCATCTCACTTGACAGTTCTGGGGAGCTCCTGCCTTCCCCAGGACAGGCCTGGGGAGCCTCCATACCCAGCAGCTTCCTGATGTACGTGCACTGATGCCATTAGCATTCGAACGGCCGCACAGCCCGCATCTCCTTGGAGATGGCAGCACAAATCCCATCCTCAGCGCGGCTGCAGAGCGGGAACAGGAAATTAAGCTCTAAAGCCCCCTTATTCTGCTCTCAGCCATTATTCAGCCCTGGCAGCCCCAGCTTTCTGCTGGCAGCTCCCTGCCTCCCTCCCATGTCTTCAGACCCACATCGTTCCTCCCACAGCCCCGTCTCAGCCTTGACGGGGATGGAGAGTGTTGCAGGAAGGAATGGGACTGGATCCAGCTTGAGACCCCCATCGGCAAGAAGGAAGCAGAGCAGCAGCTGTTCCTACATCCTCCAGCCCACCCTGGAGACAACCGTGTCAGCCAGAAGAGCCCTCCATGGGGACACCACAGCAAGAGATGTTCTTGCCAATGCTTTCACCTGTACCCCTTCTCTGCCATTAGGCATCTCCTCAGCAGGGATGGGGTGTGCTCGGAGAAGTGGCTGCAAGCCAGGAGGAGAAAAAAAGCACCAGCAAAGCCACAGAAGAAGGTTTCCGCAGCAATGTTTGTTCTTCTGCAATTCAAATACTGGATAGGAAAGTCAAGGGCAGTCTTAGCCCAAAAAAACAAATGCTAATCAGCCCGGCTGCAACTGAAAATAAACACCCCCTCCTTGAGAAAGGGAGGAAAAGGCCAGCATCACTACCAGCAAGCAGCAAGTTGAGAATGAACCCTTCTCATCTCACCCTCCAGCCCCAGAGCCCTTTCTCCCCTCCCCAAGTCCCGCTGCTTTCCAAAGCCAATGCCGCTGGAAGCCCAGCCCAACAGCAGGGACAAAAGGCGCTGCTGAGCGGTATTGTTTGGCTCCTGGTCCTGCAGCGAGGAAGCAGCAATAATAAAAGGCTCCTGCCTGCGAGACGCTGTCTGGGGAGGAGCATCCCCTCTCCTTTCCCTTCCCCAAAGAGTGCCAAACACCTGGGTGCTGCCAAAAATGCAGCCCAGCACCAAATTTCTGAGCACCCCAACCAGGTGGGGTTCAGGGCAAATAATATGGATATAAAATACTGAGTTTGCACTCAAGCCCCTGAAATCTTGTGCTCGAAGCAGAATGCAGTTCCTAAATGCTTACTGGGTGATGGGGTTTGGTTCCGCAGTCTCCAAGCCTCCAACCAAACTGAGGGATTAGGGGGTTGGTTGCACCCCAGAAGTCATTAACACTCAGGGTGAAGGATGCTGCAGCCACCCCATGAGTGACCCACATCCAGAGCAAGGCAAATGGGAACAGGCAGATGTAGCCTAGTACTCCTGACTGACAGATCTCCCCACAGGGGAGCATCTGCTCTTATCGTCCCAATCCTGCAGCAAAAACACCCTGCAGAAAGGGAGATGCCAAAGCAAGATATGTCTTCCTCAACTCAATCACCATCAGCCCCTTCTCTATCCATCCTCAAAACATCAGTACATTGGGCTGTGCTGATTACCAAAATCATCAAGGTGCCTTCAGGGCTGGATCTTTCCAGGCTGATCCTCTCGGTCAATGGGTTCTCTGGGAAGCAGCAGCTCAACCCATATGGGAAAGATGGGGGACATGAAAAAGAAACCAGCCAAAGATGCCAACACCAAGCCCTGTGGTCTAACCACGCTGGTCCTCCAAAGCACCCCGTTTCCACCAGTCTTGGGTGCTTTGATCCTTTGCTTTTAATTTAAATTTAGCATCCAATCCAGCAGAGCCTCTCATAAGGAGGTGATGAGGGGAACATATGCCCCCGCCCCACACCTCCCTTCATGTCGCAGTCATCGGTCAGCAGCCAGCTCCCATCAATCTCCTTGTCCAGCCCAAATCCCTTCCGTTCTGCCATTGCCAAGGCAACAGGCACTGAAAAAGGGGCAGCTGAGCTCCTGGCCACAGTATCTTTGATGGCTCAAAGAGGACTGAGTGCCACCACGCAGCTGGAGACATGGTGACTTCCCTCAGGGACAAGCCCAGGGGTGAGCATCACCCATCGCGGAGATGGGATTGCTGAAACCCACCAGTCATAAACACGAGCTCTCAGCCCCTCCAGACACCACAATGGGGGAAGCAAAGGGATAAATGAAGTGTAATGCATTCACTCATTATCCAGCCTTGCTGCCATTCCAGCCCCACAGCTTGGACCTGTGCTGCCACGTTTCCCAGCTCCGTGCCACTTTGTTCCCCAGCTCCATAGCCCTGAGACAGCCCTGGCTGCCCAAGGACAGGGCTCGCTTGTCTGCCTGCCTCCTCCTCCCCTCCCAGCAGCTCTTGGCAGGGTGGGAGTGCTCACAAAGAGCCGATTCAAGGCAATAAGGACGAGGGCTCTCTCAGAGAGAGGCTGAAGGGGAAACCGAGCAGCCCATGGATGGCACCACTGCCCCTCTGCATGGGCCACCAAAGCTTTTCAAAGGGTTCTTGTCTAATCCTCTCCCCTACCTGCACCTCCAAAGAAAGGAATAAAGGCACCCAGTGTTGCAGCACATCAGTCCGTAAGATGTGCTAGGGGTGCCATTTGTAGTCCCAACGCCATCAGGGGAAGGATGGGCATGGTGCTCCCAGCACCCTGGAGGAAGTCCCAGAGGAAGATATTGAGGTGTTGGCAACTCCCCCTGCACGGCTCCCCAAAGGAGCTGTGGGTTCCCCATCCCTGGAGATGCTCGAGGTTGGATGGGGCACTGGGCAACCTGGTCAACAGGAGGTGGCCCACCCATGGAGAGGGGTTGGAACTGGATGGGATTGAAGATCCTTTCCAATCCAACCACAATGCAATTTATTATCTTGGTGCCCCACAAGCCAGCACTGCCCCTGCTCACATTACTTTGGAGAGCCCACTGTGTCACTCTGCCTATCAGCAGCCCCAAGAGATATTCCCCAAGGCACGCACCAGCATCTCACCCTTGCAGGTGCCACCAAAGCTCTCCCCAAACCTACATCCCAGCCCATCCATCAGCACTGGCAACAGCCACATGTGTTCAGTCACTGCTCCAGGTGGCAGGGCCAGCCAGGCACTCTGCTAAGAGCCATTTTACATCATTGCTATCATTTTTTCCTCCCGTTCTTCCTCCTTTTTCTTTCTTTTTTTTCCCTTCCCACCTGGCATGAAAGCATTTCCACCCCATTGACTCAGCACAGTTTCCAGCTGGGAGAACACCATAATGGCCTCATTATTTCAGACGAGGAACCTGCATGTTAAATTAGGCAGAGAAGGGTAATTATCTACTTGTAGAAGATAAGGGAAGGGGGAGCATTTTATCAGGGACAGAATGCCAGCATGCTTCCCAGCCGAGTCACTGACCGCACTCCCCACGTGAGCAGCATCCAGGCCACAAGGACACCATAGGGACACATATACCCAAAAACACCCCAAATACCCTCAAGCGCACACCTTTTGGCCTGGCCCCCCACCTTACTTCCTGTCAGGAACTCACACCCGGTGCTTTCTGGAGGCTGAAGACACATCAGCTCAGTGCTGCTCTATTTAATGAGTAATTAATCTTTCTGAGCATCCTCTGGTGGCTGACGCAAGGCAGGCAGCATCCTTCACAGCAGGGCATGAGGTCTTGGACACCCTTTGTGTTCTCTTGCACAGACAGCCTCCATCCACCTCTCACTGTAGACAACGTCACCCCATCCCTACGGGACTTGGGACCAGGACACATAGCCACGTCTCCGAGTATCTTTTATACCACTGAATGGAGAGAGCCCAAACTTTGGAGCACAGTCCTCACCCAGCACATCCTCCCTCCAAGCACAATTTCCCTCTCTGCTCCCCAAAAACAAAGGCTTCCCAATGATCTTCAGTGAAGAACACAAGCAGAGCTCCTCGGACCGAATCCCATTCCCCATGTCCCTCCTTGGCACCAACCCCATGGCACCCACTGCACCACGAGGCCCAAAATCTGCAGGCTCACACTGCTGTGCCAACTTCAGGTTCCGCACTCACGAGATGTGGCCGGCTCCCAGATAGCCCTCACTCCCTTCAAAGCCACCCAATTCAACCGCCAGCCCCTCTTTCATCCTCACCATCAGGGTGTGGACCGATGAGAAATGGCTTCTAACCCCCAATCCCAACGCGCAGCCCGCCCCACGCCCCGAGGTGACCCCACCGAGGGATGGAGCGAGCTCCGGGGGTGATCCCGAACTCCAGGGGAGGGGGGCTTACCTCTGCCGTAGGTGAAGGGCAGGCGGAGGGCGCGGCCCTGGCGCATCAGGCTGATGTGCAGGTACGTAAACCACGCGGCCGAGGTGAGCAGCGCAAGCAGCAGCAGCAGCTTCAGCTGCTTGCGGATCTTCTTCACCGGGAGCCGCGGCATCACCGCCTGCCGCCGCCGCCGCCGCGGCCCGCCGCCGGCCTAGCCCCGGCCCATCGGGCCCCC